AGAGAGAGAGAGAGAGAGAGAGAGAGAGAGAGAGAGATGAAAGATAAAAGATGAAAGTGTAAGAATACAGGCATGGCATGGAGCATTCCTGGAAGTCAGGACAACCTTAGATGCCAGTGAGAGCCTTTCACTTTGTTTGAACCAAGGTCTCTCTTGTGGCCTAAGGCAGGCTAGCTGGCCTGGCAGCTCCTGTCAATTCTCCTGTTTCAGCCTCTCACTAAGTCATCTCCCTATTCCTTATATATAAATCTTACTTCAGAAAAACAAAACAAAACCATAAATAAATAAGAAACTCAAGCTGATGCCACATATTTGGAGAAAAATGTACTGTTATCTAACAGTTAAATGCATCGATAAGATCACCTGAAATGCAAACCTGAGATAAACTGAAGACAGAGGGGTAAACAGTGACATGGTAACCTCGCAGCTACCAGGTGAGGATTTTGGTCATCACTGGGCAGTTTTCTCAACCTTTCAGTATGTTTGAAATTTTTTAGAGTAAAATATTGAGGGTGGGGTTGGGGAGAAACACCTACCATTTCTTTCTTCGTGCATCCATAAGTGAGGGTCAGCGTATACAATTTTATTATATCTTTGGCGAACTGTCTCCTGGTATTTCTTTAAAAAAGAAAGTTTAATTTATGAGAAAAAGTAAGTTTCATTATAAACTAGAAGTAGTAAGTGTGGAAACAGCTCAGCCGACAGACACTGATGAGAACAGGCGTCTGCTGGGCTAGAAAGTGAGCAGCTCCTGAGGGAAACCTAGAAGAAACAGCATGACTAATGTGGCTGCAACCTCGGCCAGCTTGTCCCTAGAGCTTCCTGTGGTGACAGACACATGTCCCCTGTCCATCTACGGACCACCTGTATTTCCATCTTCCTTCGTTTTGTTTCAACAGACATATGCTGGCTAGTTCTACTGCTCAGGTCTAGGCAGTTACCCCATGAGAGGGAAGGCGGTTTAAAGAAGAGGACAAACAGTATGTCTTTACATTTTCAAAACCACCAAAAGTTACCTTCTTTATAATTTCCTACTTAGCAGTGAGGAAGAACTGAGTTAATCATGACACAACTGAACCAAAAACGCTGAGTATGGGGTCAGACCTGGACAGGGCATCCTAGCTCTCTCGTTTTTTATGACCTTGTCCACACCATTTGATCACTGGATTTTGATTTCCTGTTCTTGAATAATCCGGTAGGATGGCTGATGTCTGAGGTCTAAAAGTTTATAAGAGAAGGGAGTCATTCTAAAGTAGTAGTCTGAAAATTAACGGAGGTAAGGACATCTGTGATTTGACAGGGTCACTACAGCAAGGTAGAAGAAGTATAAATGATGGATGCAAAAGTCAATGGTCCAAACTGTGGAAGCAAGTTTGTCCTGGAATCTGTTTTTGGAATTATAAGTCACTGTTAACAGGGTGATAACAGTATGGACTACTTATTAGGTGATGTGTCAGATAGTTTGCTAAATACTTTACATCTTCTTTTCTCAGAAACCCTACTTAGCAGACAGGGTAAATGAATGAACCAAAGCACACTCAGTTGGCAAGAGAGCTTGGATTTGAAAGTAGGACCCTGTGGCTCTGTCATATTGAGTGTCCGCACATGACCAGGAGTGGAGGTGAACCCCCACTGGCAAAACAGACCAGCAGGCCCAGACCTTACTTCCATTTCCTCCATCCGGCGCATCATGGTCTGTAGATCAGGGCTGTCCTTGCTGTCCCCCATTGTGGCTGAAGTCTCTAACCCCAAGATCTTATCATGAGTCACGGCCCGGAGCTCATGAGCAGCATCTTCTAAACAGTCATCCAGCTGATGAATATTCCTGGATTCATAATTGACCCCTGAAGCCTACAAAATGAAGGAAGAAAGGGTAAAAAGGTAATATAAAGAGAACCAAAAAATTAAAGATTATTGTTGATCATTGTAACCCCAAAGCAGAGTGATCCAACTGGCAGAGATCCTATGCCAGAACAAACTTCTTGGTCAGGGCATAACAAAAGCACCAGCAGATACAATTTTTATCAGTCGCTTAAGTGATTGCACTAACCAAGCAGTGGCCTTTAGTGACAACTTAAACACCCATTTCATCCGCCTTGCTGATTGGCAGAGCACGTATCTCTTCTGCCACATTTAGGGGAACGTACCCTATTTTATATGTCACATATTCTAGATGGCATGCCTTTTCTTTTGGTCCATGCCCTTGTAAAAGCCTCATGGCACTATGAAGTTCAGGGTTCTTTTCTTTGCTTGAGGCTCTTGTTATAAGCTAAGAGAATGTTAACATTCTCTGCAGACTTGGTGTGCTTTAAATCAACAAAGTACTTGACGGTTTACAAAGCGTTTCCCCTTTCTTTCTTTCTTTCTTTCTTTCTTTCTTTCTTTCTTTCTTTCTTTCTTTCTTTTTTCTTTACTTCT